ACAAAATTATTATTCTAATAAGAATAATTTCTGTGATACTATTATTCTTACAACAATAATTTCAGAATTATCATTTTAACAAGAATAATTTCAGGTATCATCATTCTAGCAAAAAATGATTTTGATACTATTGTTCTTATAAGAATAATTTTAGATACTATCATTTTAGCAAAAACAATTACATTTTATCATTATTGTAAAATGATTGTAAAATTATTGTTCTAATAAAAATGATTTCAGATTCTATCATTCTAGCAAAAATGATTCCTTTATCATTCTTACATGAACGATTTTAAAATTATCACTCTAGTAAGAATGATTTCAATATTATCATTCTAGCAAAAATAATTTTAATACCATTATTCTAGCAAAAATAATTTTAATACCATCATTCTAGCAAAAATAATTTCAATACTATCATTCTAGCAAAAATAATTTCAATACCATTATTTTATTTTGATACTATCATTCTAATAAAGATGATTTTAAATTTATTATTCTTGTATAAACATTCTTGCAAGAATGATCATAAAATTATTTTTATAAAAAGAATGATTTTAATACTATCATTTTAACAAAAATAATATTGAATTTATCATTCTTATATAAATGGTTATAAAATCATTTTAACAATAGTTATCAAAACTTAAATTAATCACTTACTATTATATTAGTTATCACATTTTCTAAATAAATAAATAAATCAGTTCAATTTTAATTATTAAAAAAGTAATTCAGATACATTACTTATCATTTTAGTTATTACAAAATTAAAAATTAGTAAATTTTCATAAATTTTTATGATTTGTAATACTATTTTTATAAATATAATCAATATAAATTTCTCAAATTTGAATATTATTTGTAATTTAACCTGTTCTACAACTTTAATTATAAGTAAAATATAGGTTTTAAATATTATTTTTGACTTTTACATAGAGAAACTTTAAGTTTATCATATTTTACTGCATTACAAAGCAAAATAATTTGTTTATTTAAAACTGAAGATTATTTAAAGCTATTGTTATAACAATAATAATAAATTCATAATTAGAAAGTATATGACTTGTTTATTCTTATATAAAAATTTCAAAAGGTTAGAATTGTTAAAAAGTAATGTTAGCATATAAGTAAATATTAAAAATTGCCTTTTTTTAATATGAAAATTATAATATGATTTTATAATAAATAGCAACTCCTATGATAAATTTTCATGTAATACTAAAATTTTTCAATTTTATTAAATATATATATTGCTTACTGATCATGTGATATCGTTAACATTTAAAATTTCTTACATAAAAATGAATTTTAAAAGTTTACAATACCAATTTAAGGTTTTATATAAATACATTTATCATATTAAAATTGAATGTAAAAATAAACAAAAATTAATTTATTTATTATAAATATTTTATATTTAAATATAAAATATAATTTTATTTATATTATAAATTTATTTAAAAATAAAAAAAAATGGATTTAATTAATTTTAAGTTTTTATATAAAAATTATTTTATGATATTTATCTTAGTAATATGTTTGTTGACCGTTATACTATAGTATCAGCCAAATTTAGATACAGATTTACATCAAATTACTGTGTCACTAGATACAATTTTTTTATCATAATTTGGTATTTTAATAGGCAATCAAACAAGTGCAAAGAGTACATAAGCATCTCAATATAGAATCTAACACGCAATCAGGTGCAAGAGGTTAACACCTTTATTATAGAATCAGGCATTCAAAGAAGACTGGAAAACCAGTACCAGCAATATAGAATTTATCATGTAAATGGATTAGAAACAAGAAGAAAGCAGTCACTATTAGATTATGACATCACCATTAAATTAAAGCATTACCATTCACTATTAGACTATGAAGTTACCATCATATTATATAGGAAACAGTTAAAAAAATGCTATAAACGTAAAGAAGATACCCATAAGTAGGTTATAAAGTTACCATTGTGTTATAAAATTACCATTATATTATGAAGATACTGGCAGACTATGAAGTTGCCTTTATACCCTAATCTAAAGTTGCATATGACTTCATAAAAACAATAATATATATTATCTATTATAATTTTAATATCTGTCTCTATTCTATTATTCTCATACTATATAAGATATATTAAACATATATATGCAAATTCTTATCTTTTATAATATTTATATATATTTGTTATATTTGTTAAAATAAAAGTTATAAAATTATAAATTAAAAAATTTATTATTAAATGATTCAAATATTTCTATTTAAATTTTCAAATAATATTAAACTTAAATTTTAAATAATATTATTTTTAAATTTTATTCAAAAAGATTTTGTGTTTAAAATTATTTCTAAAAATCTTCATATTTTAACATATATTGATCATCTAAAGAATTATATTTGATCTTTATATCTTTAGTTATTAAATCTTTTTCATAAAAAAAAAAATATCAGAAATTGCATTAATAAAAAATAAATAACCTTTTATCTAGCTTTACATTTAATAAAAATTAATCTATAAATTATATAAATTACTAACATAAGAAAGAATTGAATAAAATTAACGTTAGCAAAAAAGGTATGTATAATGGAATCTTTCTTCTTTGAGAAATTGTTATTTCGCGCTTTGTATTTATTTTTTTTTGCGTCATGCTATCACATTTCTCACCTGAAATCCGTTGGATTTCACATGTATCCACTGTGTCTATTTCTTAATCATGCATTATTGTTAGATATAATGATAATTGTGACGAAAAATTTAATAAATCACTACTTATTAATCTCTTGTTAATCGTCTATCTTTCCCAAAAACATCAAAAATGTCAAGTTGTACCGGTTCGGAAAATACAAGTTTTACCAATTTTAGTAGTGTTGGTTCGACAACAAGGACAAGTGCAAGCTCTGTCACCACTACGTAAGTAGATATGTGCAAGTGTTCCTCCTTACTTTTTCGCTAACTTTCCGGAGATATTCTTAGGGACAGTACTGATGCGGTTCTAAAACGGATGCCAGATTATAACTATTATCGAAAATTGTGGTGGGATAAAGGTGAATTTAACTCAGAAGCAAAGTGGGAAGAAGCAACGTAAGTACTTTTTCGACACTGGATGGATATTTTACAAACTAGTTACTAATTTTTGCCGATTATATAAAGACTCCCTTATAAACTTGCTGACGGAATTACTATAGATGAGTATGAACGCCGTGTAGAAGAGTTTAATGTTCACTGTTGTTGGGAGTGGATTAATGGTGATATTATTATCTACGAGTTGCCATCAGAACCACATGAAATCTGTCTTGGCACGATTTCTAAACAATTCTTGACGGGTTGCAGGAATGCTGATAGGACAGATGCTAAAATATTCAGCATCAGATCAACACGTAAGTATTGATTCATTAATTAATTCTTTCTGCTTATGTCTATGGCAACATACTAATTTTGATTATTTAGACCAGTAAAACCACTCGTAAATCGTCCAAATGGGAGTGATGGAGAAGTACGATTTATTTTTCCATTGATTTTGAACTTTTCAATCCATAGCTGGAGGTTTCATATAATACATTTTTTTATTTTCAGGATTGCCCTTGGCCAAATATTGTTGTCGAGGTTGCGTATACAGAGTCAATAGAACATGTTACAAACAAAGTGAATGAATACTGGCTTCGCCCCAATCGTGCTCACGATGCCATAGTTGTTAAAATCGATCCTGTCCCTCAAGGTGAAAGGCCTTCTCGTATGATAGTAAGTTACATTTATATAGTGTAGTAATCTAGCTATTTATACAACATTCTTAAAGATTTTAACCTATTACAGGCATGGCATTACTGCGTTACAGGTAGAAAAACAAGAAATCTTCTGAAACCTAAAACTACGGTAATGTCAAACTACAAATGATTCTCTCTGTTAATATATTAAAATTTTATGTATATTATTGGTTATTAGTTTGAATTCTGAATGCAAGATGGTGACGGGAATGCAATAAACATCAATCGCGGTGCATGTGTCATCGAAATCAAACGTGGCTGTATTTATTATAATAAAGATCCTGCTATACAGGTCCCTCAAAATATCCCCGATCCAATTACTTTGGATTTCTATTATGTCCAACAAGCAATTGTAAAAATGTTTAAGGGTAGGGAATAATGAAAGCGTATTATGTTACTAGTAGCCTAAAAATTAAGAAAAAACGACTGACTATACTGCTGTCATATGATATTGTAACTGTTTAATGTATAGTTTAGCTGGGACAGCCTCTTTTTAAAATAATAAATTTTTTCGCTCATTGCATAATTGATGTATACGTGTTTTATTATTAATAAAAACGCCCCTGCACTTATCATAAAAAAAATGCGCAGAACGATATTCTTGCCGAATAATAAATCAAAAGCTAAATTAAGTGTTAAATAAATATTTAAATTTTTAGTTAATATAAAAGAAAGCTTTAGGAATAATTACTATAATAAAATCATTGCTAAAATTCGGATTCTCTTGAGGATTAATCCAAGTCAATAATTTTCATTTTACATTCCTAGATGTAAATGAATTATTGGCGTTCAATTTCTACGCGTCCGATATGCACGAACGTTTACAAAGTTAAGTTTAGTGTTAAAGATTTATAACAAAATATTTCACTCCATTAGGACTTACTTCCGTCGGATCGGTAAGTAGTGTGATTTTTTTTTAAAAAAAAAAAAAATAGAAATTACTAACGAATTAACAGATTTATGGACCGTCCTACAAAGGTAAGTTTAGTATTAGATTTTTTTTTAAAAAAAAAACGAACGACTTATGCGATCCAAGAATTCCAAGGTTCCGACCTCGAGTTCTAAAAAAATAAAGTTACTAAAGTGCAGATAGCTAAGTTTAGTAAGTTTCGGAGTAAAAAGTTCAATGTTTTCATCGGATCTGATATCCTGTTGATCCGTCCCAAAATACCGGTCATATGACTGGACAATTAAATCAATAAAAAAATTTTTTAATTTTTTAAATCTTTTTAAAAATGGCAACAATTGAAAAAATAGAACAAGAATTAAACCGAGTAAATAATAGATTAGATGAGGCAATGGAAGAGTTGAAGCAGTGGAAAGAGGGGAAATACAAAGGGAAGAAGTTGGAAGAGTGGGAGATAGAGTTGCTTGAGGGGAACTTGAGTGAAGCAAAGAAGACGGAGTTGGAAGGGCGAATGAACAGATTGTATAAGGAAAAAGAGGAGTTAAAGGCGACGAAAGCGAAGTGGGAAGATCAAGTGATTAATTTACAAAATAAATTAACTAACTTTGGGAAAGAAAATGGTAACGAACAAATTGCATAAAAAAATATACAAAATTATTTCCATTTTGTTTATTTATTTATTTGAGAGATATCTGTTATAACTTTAACCAATTTATACTTCTTTTTCTGTCCAATTGTTTCTATTTGCTGCTTCCTATTGACATTACAGCAGGTGTTGAAGAAAATAAAGGTAAATACCATTTGTGTTTTTTTCTTTGGTTATTTATTTATCATTTTTAATTAAATATGCAATATTGTTCACCTGTTTTAAATTTTTTTTTTCTATTTTTTCACACTATTATTAAGAATCAGGTAAGATTAATTCTTGTGATAAATCCATACATTCATGGAATGTGGATTAACTTTTGATTTATTTATTTGCCTTTTAGAGGGAAAAGGAATCAAACGTCTAGTAGAGGATGATTATACATATGCTACAGCTGAAAAAAAAGCAAAAATTGTTGAAGATATGAAGGTACCACCCTCAAGCTTTTGTAGATCATGTAAATGGGAAGAGGTTGTTCCTGTGATTTTCAATCATCGGCCCCATGATGCTGATATTCCTATCACTCTATATCATCAATCATTTGCACATTTTCAGGAGTACTGTACCAATATTCATATCTCAATGGATGATTGTGACCTGGTAATAAAACTTATCA